GATACATCACTACACAATCACTGACAAAAAAAACAGGCACAATCATAATCTCTTGTCATTGTAATCAGCTTCCTATAACTCCCAACAAGTCAAATGATCTCTGACTGCAGATTGCTGAAATGATGGCTAGCCATGGCTGAAACTGGTTATAAAACGCATTTTCTTTTCTAAAAAAATAATAAACAGGACACTAGCTTTGATAGCTAGTTCCCACTCCATCCTCCTCTCCTCTCACCTCAACCTTCAAGGTTCTGTCCTTGAATGGTTCAGGTCTTATCTCTCACACCATCTCCAACTTGTCTCCAAAGGTTTCTCTTCCAGTCCCCGCACAGACTTGTGTGGTGTTCCTCAGGGCTCTGTCCCCTCCTCTTCAACCTCTACATGCTCCCCCTTGGTGACATCATCCGCAGACATGGGACCAACTTCCACATGTACACGGATGACACCCAACTCTATCTCTCTGTCTCCACCCTCAACTCCAGGACAACTGACATCCCGACAGTCCAGGATGAGACCCAACTTTCTACAGCTGAATGTCAGCAAGACAGAGGCCCTGATTGGCTCGCGTCAGCACCTCAGCACCTCAGGCACTGGCAGCATCAGCATCCACAGATTCACACTCCACCTCACCAAGTCAAACAGGAACCTGGGAGTCTTGTTCGACCCTCAACCTTCTCCCCTGTGCCATAACACGCTCTGACTTCCCATAACATTGCCCGACTCTGCCACTGCAGGCCACTGAAACCCTCATTCTCGCATTCGTCACCTCAAGGCTCGACTATGGAAACTCCCTCCTTGTTGGCCTCCTCAACTCTTCCCTACACAAGCTGCAGATCATCCAGAACTATGCAGCTCGTGTCCTCTCCCGCACCAGGCTCCATGAACCCATTAACCCCTCGCCCGGCTCCACTGGGGATAGAATTTAAAAATCCTCATCCTCAATTTCAAGGCCCTCCACAGCCTTGTCCCCTCCTACGTCTCTGACCTGCTGACTCCCTATCAACCTGTCTGCTCTTTCCATTCAGCAGGCTCCGGCCTCCACCATGTCTCCATAATTTGCCAGCCTCCTGCTCTCACCCTGAAGATTTTTTAGTGACTGAAAGAACTGATGGGATAGGCAGCTCTTCAATCAATACAATTTATAGAAGACTGCCTCTAATATAGTCAGGCCTTTCTGTTTTTTAAATAAACTTTATTAAAATAGTATGCATTCTTTATTTGTAAGGCTTCACCTCTCCCACATGCTGTGAGATCATTGTGTTTACCTCTATAGAATAAGTTTTATATTGATAATACAACAACAAAATTACATTTGTAAAGCATCTTTTACCTCGGGAGGGAGTCTCAAGATGCTGAACAGTGGGGGATCAGGATACAGGCTATACCTTGGAACTGGCATAACAAGAAAGTCACAAGATCACAATTGAGGTTTGAATGAAGAAAGTCCTTCAATCCATTGGATCTTATCCTTCCAGAAAACTCTCCCTACTGTCCTTCCATCACAGCAGCAAGCNTTTTTTTAAGAACAAATGAGTCCAGCGCTCTAGCATCAGCCAGCTTTCCCAGTAACTTATTACAGTCATCAATTCGCTTTGTGTATAGAAATATTTCCTGGCATCTGTCCTGAAATTGCTCTTTGCAACCCTATGTCCACATTGCACGGTTGCTATTGGTTCAGTGACAGTATAATTAATTTGACCTAATCACTACAACAAAAACAATTTATAAAGTGGATGTTTTGCCTTTACTGGAACAGTCTCCAATTGATTTGGAGGCGTCAACAGCAGTTTTTTTGTGACTAGATCACCACATGCTAAAATATCTGCTGCTTGCTGAAACTACAGGGAAAATTTCACAGTGTTTTAATATGTGTTTTAATCAATTTTACTTTTATATAGACTTCAGGAAAACATAGATAATAATCAGTATAATAATCCTTCATTTTGATATACTGTCCTGGAAAAAGAATTTCCCCAAAAGACAACACATTCAAAATGATATTGATTGAATAAAGGAGTTTGGACCTCATTTGTAGGCTATGATTAAACTCCCCGGTTCAGGGTGAAACCTTGGGCAAGTTTCCTTACTCCACACTCCACAGTTATCCAATAATAATCCCTCCAAAACAAAAAACAATAATAAATTGGTCATTTTCAATCCACGACTGTTTGTGGGACACTGCTGTGCGCAATTGGCTGCCGCGTTTCACCCACAAATATACAGTCAATTCACTTTACAGTATATTCTGTGAAGCGCTTTGAGATGTCTAGAAGACGTGAACAGCGCTATATCAAATGCAAGGATTATTATTCTTATAATCTTGTATACCTTGCTATAATTCATAATCCATTGTCCTGTATAATACCCTACCCTGGGATAGGTTACATCCTTCACCAAGTGAGACCTTACAGCATTCAGTACAGCTTCTCGTTTTGATGGGAGCTAATTTCCACAGGCTCTAGACATCCTCTGGAATTTGTCATGTGTGAACCAACACAATGAGTGTCAGGAGGCTTTTTGAATGCGGTAGAAATCACAGCCAGGGCGATCGCTATTGTTTTCTAACATGTATGTATTGGATAGCGGGGGAAGGGATACTGGACAGGCTCAGAATTAGGGAATTTGGCTGATTTTTTTCTTTTCTCTAATCCAGAGGCACTGACACCCATTTTAGCTTTCTGCTCAATTTAAGGTCCCTGCTGGAAAGTGTGTGTATATGTGGGCACCATGAGAGAATTGGTCAGATTCAGCTGTGATGGTTTCTATGGTTGAAAAGTTTAACATTCACTGCCACAGCTCACACATGAAGAATGGTCACAAGGGTGATACACAGCTGCTGTCATTTATGGCACTGAAAAAAATATTTATGGCACTGAAAAAAATATATAGCAACAAAAACCATCACCTTCAGACAGGGAGGAAAAGAGAATTCTCTTGTCATATGTGCTCATGAAAAATATTTGAAGCACATGATCAACTATCAATAATACTAATATATTATCTTTGGATTTGATATAGTCTTTTATCATGTCTTCAAGATGTCTCAAAGCACTTCACAGATATGATGTAAAGTATATATAAACTGTATATGTCTTGTGGGCAATACAATAGCATTTACATTGAGGGTACAAAGGCTTTATCAAGCTTTTCATGAAACCACAGTTTATGCATCACATCACAACAGACTATCGTCAATATTTTTCAGAATATCTAAACTTCAAAAACAGATTTTCAGTTTTTAACAGGTCACATTCTGAACTTNAAAAAAAGCTTCCATCTGAAATGAAAATCATAGAATCATACAACACAGAGGGAGGCCATTCAACCCATTATGACTGTGTCATCTCTTAAAAAGTGTTATCCAAAACAAATCCCACTCCCCCGCTTTCTCTCCATAGTCCTGCAAACTTATCCTCCCAAATAATTATCTAAATGGTTCACTGTTGTAAGAAAACAATATTTAAGAAGTTTTGATATGTAGTTAATGGATGAAGTTGGGCAAGTGCCATTATGAAAATAAAATGGATAACTTTTCACCTGACCAATTTTTGAAAGAAATCAGCACATGAAACCCCCAAAACTACAATGTCGGAATTCATTTTAGAAACTATCATCTTAAAGAGTTGTACTTTTCAGGTTTACAGCTCAGTTAAAGGTAGTAGACGTAATTTACTATAATTCACCTCCTGGCAGACAAAGATAAATTATTGCCAGGTCTTTTATCACTTTGAATAAATAATTTTTCTTCTTGAAGTTATTATAATTGAGAGAAATTTTCTCGTTATATTATAATGGCCATAAAAGGTTATTTTGGGGTGAGTGCCAAAAATTGTCCTTTTACATTATGTTTCATTCAGCCAATGTGTTAACTATAATCAATTCAACACCACAGAAGTAAAACTTAGTGCAGTGTATACTGACATCTAGTTATTAACAGTAGTACAGAATTTATCAAAGTATCCAGTTACAAAAATAATTATTTATATATATAAATCATTGCATGTCTTAGCCAAAGGACAGCACCTCCGACAATGCAATACGCTCCCAGCACTGAATTGGAGTGTCATCTTAGACTAAGCGATTCCAAGGCCCTTAACCCACAATCTTCAGATTCAGAAGCAAGAGTGCTCCCACTAAGCCAGGCTGACACATTTGCAAATACATTGAAAATGTTTTAGTAAATATTATTTTTGTTTACAGCACAGTTTTTGTAATGTGGTAACAGTTCTGTTCACTGCTGAAAAATATTGGTATGACACTAATAAGGTGATTTTAAAAAAATACTCTACATATATTAATAGCCACTCAACTTTAAGGAAGCCAATTTCTTGGAAGAATTCTTCACAGTGTGGTACTGTGGACCAGGGCCAACTTTGTCACAGAAGAATTGGACTTGATACCAGAGCCTTGCAGAAATGCCTTCAGATGAGTTCTGAATGGTAACATTACAGAGTTACAGAGGGAAGTTGGTGATTTCAGATCTTTACTCTGAATAGACTGACTTGAGGGTCAAACTGATCTGCTAACTCTGCCTTGAACCAAACGTCCTGTATAATGTGCATGATAATCATGCTCTCTTTATTAGATGTCAAATGGTTTTCATTTCAATTATTTCCCTTGCAATTTGGAGTACAAATATTGAGCATTTACCACCTAAATTTCTATTTCAAAACATGTGTGCAAGTCCACTGCTTTTCCAGGTTTCAAGGTCGTAAACATGACATTCCAATCTTGTGGTATAACAAATGCAATGAATGGCTGTCCCACATTCTGTACGCTCTATGGTCAATGCTCCTGATTTCATTGCTTTTGAATCCTCCATTAAACCACTCAGTTATTGATTTATCTGTAACAGCTTCCAATTGCCTATAAAAAAATCCTGTAGAGGACATGGCCTGAATGTAATATATTTCTCTTTTACAGCCTAAGCTCAGTGAGCAAAACTTATGCGAAAAACCCCCACAGAATACCAAAGCAGGAGAACAAGTTTTATACTGTACCATTGTTCCTTCACTTTTATTTCTTGCAACTTCCCGCTGTAACCGAGCCACTGCCAGCTTCTCCCTAGGAAAAACAAAGAACGTGAATAGATGCTCATTTTTCATGAGTGCTGAGGGTATTCCACTCCAGAAACTTTAAAACATTCTCATTTGTCGCTATGGTAATATAACTACATCAAGGTTTACCAATAGAAAGCATAGAATCTTTGGCTGCTGAAAGCTAATGTGCTGTACAGCATTTCATGATTTAGTTCTATTTCGAAGCATTGGTCTATAAAACTAGACTGCAATCTTTATTTCAGGGAAATTATACAATTAGGTCATGCTTCTTCCAGATTAAAACAATACATAATATGTTTTAATAACATTAATAGAACGTTCTGAAAAACCTTGTATTGCTTCCCCAAATAAAGTTATTGAATTAATACACAGTATGGGATGAAAGGTGCTACACAAATGTAATTTATTGTTGTTGTATACAAAAAACAAAGCAGTGACTCCAGTTGCACAATAATTGCAAAATTTGCAGATAATGCTGTGTATGATTAGGCAAATACATACAGCATTTACTCAATTATGTGTTGTTTTACCCACAAATATACAGTCAATTCACCTTACAGTATATTCTGTGAAGCTTTTTGAGACATCCAGAAGACGTGAAGAGCGCTATATCAAATGTAAGGATTATTATTATTATGTGTTTGCAGAAATCACCAAATTTGCTTGCTCACTTTGCTCATATACACTTTGTGCTATTGAAATTATTACCAACCGTTTCCTCACAATTACACTATTACTATTTGTATTCTTTCTCTTGTCCAGAATTTTGTAGAAAATTCAACTTCAATACTTTAGCACTTTAAAGATGAAGTAAAACATGCAATTAAATTGAGGCAAAGTAGGGCAGTGCCCCTCTTAACTGGCTTAGAATGCAGTCTAGACTAATGAGATAAAAGTTCTATCTCTAAAGGATTTTGCTTGTTAATTTGCAGTAGCATATGTTGCTTGACTTACAACTGGTCTGGTAGTAGCAAACTAATGATTGCTACATGTTTAGCTATAAGCCCACTAATAAATTAAATTACGTGATCCTTCAAATTAATTCTGCCTCATCTAATGAAACAGATTAAAATACAGATGAGACATAGCTTATTGTTTTGACAATTTTTGCAAAGTGTTACTTGCAAATAACAGCAATATAAATATTAACAAAGGTGGCTGGTAAAGTCACTTCAATGATGTGTTTCTTCACAAGAGGCACCTTCTAATTACAAAACAACTTAGCATCATTTTGGGCTCTAACCTGTGCCGAATGCTAAAAAGTAGCAATATATTTGTTACTTGTTTATAATGAGTGCTCTCATTAACAATACAAAATATAAAGATACACATTTCTTGGGATCAGCACATGATGGATCACTATACAACAATACTGACTTAATAGCTTTTAACAGGCTACAAAGAAGTAGGTGGTAGTCATAAGTCAAGATCTTATAATAATAAGAAGAATATACTGTACAGTAAATTGACTGTATATTTTGTGGGTGAAATGCAATAAGGTAAAGAGACAAGGTAAGCACCTGGGCTGATCACTAACAAATGGTGTTCAATACAGATTCATGTACTTCTTGGATAGGATAGAATTTGCCAAAAGGGAAGTTGAAAGCGGCCTAGGGGTGTTGGTCGCTGGGCGTTGCATCACTTAGCATTTCCAAACAGTGTGAGACAACAATAAACAAGACAAATGGGATACTGAGCTGCCAAATCAGTCTAGTTCAGTTTGGCAGAAGTTACACTCGAGCTGTGTGGTGTTCTGGTCAGGCTGCATCTAAGGTCCTGTTTTCAGCTCTCATCACCACAACGTAAGGAGACTCTCCAGGTCTTTGAGTCAGTATGGAGGAGAGCTACTAGGAGGATTATTATTTTGAAGGGATTATTGCGATAAAGAATTAAAATTGGAACCTTAATTTCAGCTACACTAAGATTGCAGGACAAAGTTGATTTTAGAACAGACACCAGGAAGCGTTTCTTTATGCAGCAGATGAAGCAGGTTGCTAGGAAGGATGACAAGCGTCAAGACATTGGCCTCATTTCAGAGACAGATTGATCCTGATGAGAAGACTATAGGGTAACTAATCTGGAAGGATGAGATAAAACAGAACAAAGGACCTGATTCAAACCAATGCTGTGTTCCTTTGTTTTGAACTGCTTAATCTGACAATAAATATAGTAAAATAGAGAAGAGAGCACAATATTCCCTCTTTACTCACGTGCAATGATGACAATGTTCTTGTGGTGATATCAATAAAAGCAACAAAATTACAGAACTAGTGATAGGTCTTTCTTGTTCCATGTTCTCTCCAGCACCGGAAAAAAAAGTGCAATCATACTTTGCTTGCAATAGCTTGCTGATCAGTTCAAAGCCAACAGCAAAGTAGCAATATACAGTCATCTGATTCCATCCTTGTTGAAGTGAAACCCGTGCCAAGGATAAAACCAGTTACAAGCTGCTCTTTTTATAATAATGACATCTCCTTTAAGAAACAACTGACATCCTTCCCACCTTGGGAAAAATCTCTGTCTGTGTTTCCTGACAGCAATCAGCAACAGGACCAATAAAGAGATTTTATATAAATGTAAAATTGAATCATTGGTACTGCTCAAAAGGATATTGCTCTTCACTCCCAAAACAGCATTCAAGGAAATAATGCCTTCAGCCCATTTATGTATTTAAATTTGCCTATTATCACCAAGCAGAGGGCACTAAAAATTGAATTATCTGCTGGTGTCATTAGCAGAACACCCACTATTACCAGTCAACATTAAAATCCAGGCATTGTTTCTGCATGACAACCTCAAAAAAACTCATTCTGATTTATTATTATAAGGTTTCCCCTACTGGCTGTCTATCTGTGTTCTTCCCCAATTAATGCTGATATTTTTAAGTGCCAACAAGTGTCAAATTATAGGTAATTTTGTATTTGGGACATGCTATCTACAAACAAGATTATGACTGCCTGAAATCATTTCACATTCAAGTTTGCAACCATTAACAAGGAGAATCTTTATGTCACCAGTCTAGGATTGGCAATGCAGAATTGCAGTAACAGAGACTATAATAATAGTAATAAATAGTAATAATAAACTGTCATTATTGGATTCTAGAGAAGCTGCAATGTGAATCCTTGTTATATTAAAATACAATGGACAATTGTCCGTGTTGTATTGTATTGTATTCTGCTAGAAAATGAGGACAGGAAACCCCTTAAGAAGATCTGCAGTCTCAAACCTTCAGAATAGTAATAATAATCCTTGTATTTGATAAAGTGCCTTATCACATGTTCAAGACGTATCAAAGTGTTCACAGAATATATTGTAAAGGGAATTGACTTAGATTTTGTGGACAAAACGCGGCAGCAATTGGGCACAGCAGCATGACCTGACGACTTCCAATTCCCCCACTGCAGCTTCTTTTTTCACCAACAAGAACAGAACCTTTTGATACACATTTAAAGAAGTACAATCTAGACAGGTGACCTCTTCTTTAAAGTGCTCACCAAAAGGTTTCTAAAAATGTACATCATCTACACTTGCTGCTTATCAGACTAACTTTAGTTTAAGTCTGTCGTTTGGTTGCTTATATTAGAAACAGGCAAAGCAAGATGTTTTATACCAATTGCCTAACTTACCCTTACTAAGGAGAGGATATCACTTCTCCATATAGTTTTAACTGCTTCCTAACATGGTCCTTAGATTGTCTTATTTGCTTTCTTCTGACCTTTAAACAAACTTCTCCAGCCCACCATTTCAGTTGAGAAAGAAAAACACATCTTTCTCCTTCAAATAATAAGAATCCTTGCGTTTGACACGGAAGCCTCATCACGTCCTGAAAAGATCCAAAGTGCCTCGCAGGATTGAGTTCAGTGACTGCATATTTGTAGGTAAAGACTGAATGACCTGCCTGTTGTGAATCTCTCGCATTTTCTGTTTTATCTCAGAAAATTGCAAGTGATTGCAGTGTCCAGGTGTTTGTGAAATTGCACTAATTTAATGTTCACAAGTCACCCTATCATGCCATCATTTTAAAGGGCAAATGCGCCTGGTCACACGTCTTCTATTTTTTGTCAGCAAGAATGCATTCTTATGCTTCAGTGAAAACAGTAGATTGCATCCATATGTAACATCAAGTGGAAGGCTGGCTTATTTATGATTACTGAACTACTGCCTGGGGTTATTATCTGAACTATAAAAGCTTTAGCAGCTGCTTATAATGCAACAGCATCTAATGGATCTGTGACACATAAAAAGTACAAACTATGCATTTTACAGCAAGTCAGAAAAAATACATATTACCAATGTTTGCTCTAAGTGGGTGGAATCACAGTGCTCCAGTCAAAAGAATGCGAAATAATAACACGAATGTCACAAGCATTAATCTGAGGGGAAACTGAATTAATCTAACAAGAGGCAATATTTCACTGCTATTATTTAATTTTCCTTCAAATCTGTTATTTCCATTAAATTGTTGTTTGATTAACATGTGGAATTTCAATTAATTCCGCAGGGAGTTAATACTCCTTTGTTATTAAAGGTTACATGTTCAGAAAATTGTTTGAGTATAACTTAATAGTCCATTAATATGGACAGAAAGCAGAATTTGGTAATGCAATGGGAGTCAATTAATTAAATCAAAAGCAGTTATTCAATTAAGACCAAGCTGTAGTTTAAAAATGGGTTCAAATACAGGTAAAAAGATTAAAAACAAAAATGCAGACATTATGACCCAGACATAAGAAAACCAAGACATTGTGAGAGTTACATTATTTTACCATGCAGCCAACATGAGCAACATGGTCATTTGTTGCCCACTTTAATAAATACAGCTCCTACAATGCTCAATTGCTTGTTTGTAAATCTTACTGAGTTTGTATAGAAGATCTATGTACCAAATGATCCGAAGATGTAGAATAGAAACTATTCAATACCTCTTTGCGCATAAAGGTTGGCAGGGATTGTTCTCATTTGAATTGAGTTACTGTATTCTCAATTCAGTTCTCTGCAGGC